CTCACGTTTGTTTCCGGTTTGCGGGAGAAAACGCGTCCGGACCACGTCACGGACCGATATAAGACCATGTTGAATGTTTTAAAAAAATTAATTCTTTTGTAGCTCATCATTTATTGGCAAAGATAGCAAAGCCGGTCTGAATGGATGCGAGAGGTTTGCGGGTTGCTGTTGGAGATGCCCGTAGAGCAACTCTAGCAGACCCCGCATCCTGCCCCGAACCGTAAAATAACCGCCAAAATGCGGGCCGGGGCGGAAAAACCCGTCTGATCAGACCCCACATCCCGCCCCGGCCCGCAAAAAATTTTAGGGGGCGCGGCAAAATCCCGAGCCCAACCCGGGAAAACGCGGGTTTCCCCCTCGCGGATGCGGTGCCCTACATATAAGCGGAAACGGTTGGTGGGGGGACATTTCATCCCGCGCTTTCTCCCACCAACCACCTCTCCTCTCCCCTCTCGCGCCGCCGCCCAAGATTCCGGCGACCGCAGCCGGCAGGAGCACGCCGGAAGGCCGCCACGCGCACGAGGTCTCCCCCCTCCCCCCTGCGTCGGCGGGCCGCCGGATTTGCAGATCTGCGGCAGTTCATCGCGGGCCGCCGGATTTGGCTTTTTTCGGCCGCCAGTTGCTGCCCCAAGCTATGGAGTGGTCGGGGAGCCTCTCCCGCAGCCCAGTCAAGGGCGCATCGCCGCATGCAGGTGCGAGTTCGTCTGCCCACCGTCGCCGAAGGTTTGCGGGCATGGACTCGTCCGGCCATCCACCGGGCTCGGCGCTCGCGCAGCGTCTTTGTGGCTTGCCGATGTCGCTCATAGAGTGCGACGACTGCACGCGAAAAGTGTTGCGGCTCACTTCGAGCACGCCGAAGCACCCCGGATGGGTGTTCTTCAAATGCGAAAACGACGGGGTACGTGCACTTGCGGTAGCTCGTTTCATAGCTCATTCTTTAGTTCGATTGCGGTAGCTCACTTTGAGCTTCTTTTGTGTAGGACGAAGGATGCTCATTTTGGTTTTGGGAAGGCCAATACATTGATTTGTTGATAGAAAGAAATTTAATAGATGTTAGTGCACTCCTTGGTACAATCGAAGGCAATGATGCGGCTACATGTGTAACTAGAGGGGAAGCAACGTCTACTTCTTTGAAACCAAAGATGAAGAATGAAGAAAGCAAGATCAAGAATCCGCAGATCAATAATAAGTGCATGGAGAAGATATTGCTTCAACTAGTGGGAGCAGTTATGGAAGTTGGAAATCTTTTGAAATGCACACTTGTGGTTCTTGTTTTCTTTGGTTTTGCTATTCTAGCCAAGATTTGGTGATATCTTTTGTATCTAATATTGTTGCAAAAATAAAGAAAAGCATTATGCTAGATCAATTTAAGTTGCAAATCTAAGTTTTGCGGGGCGGGAGGAGCTACGTCAGATCAGAACCCGCGGAAGCCAACCCGTAAAAAAGCATATTTCGCGAATATGTTTTTTTACGATCCATTATACGGGGTCTGCATCTGTGTCAGCCCGCGCCGGTCCGCAAAAGCGGTTTTGCGCAAACTGCAAACGCATTTTGCGGGGCGACGGGATGCGGGGTCTGCTAGAGTTGCTCTTACACTACTAGTCACAAATACGGCTCCTCAAGGTAACATGTGTTGATAATTCCCTGCCTTCTATACATGTCCATAAGCATGCACGAGGGATAAAATGTCAGATAATAATGTTGCGTGTGGTGATAATTCCACGCCCATATGCATGCAATAGGGAGTAAATAAATTAATAAAGCGGCCACTGTGGATGGCAACGGGACATGCTCTTAGGATAAGAACGGGGACAGATGAAATGAACTAGCAGCGCGGCCTCCCCCGTCTCTTATCCATGCCGGCGATGTAAAGGATCACCACTCTCTCGTACGTCCAATTACTCGAGCATTTTCTTTCCCGAAAAGAAGTACTCGAGCATGCATGAATCGAGATAGCTCCTTGAATGCGGACGAAGAAATTGCAAGGCCGACGACAGCAACCAGTGGTTTCTTCTCCTGCAATTAGGACAAGAAGAAGAAGAGGTGGGTACACATCACCAAAGCATGCAACTTGCATGCATGGTCCGTTGTCGTTCTTATCCTCACCGCTCTCGTTGAGCTACTCGATTAAGCATTCATGTTAATAGGAAACCATCGAAAGTACTGGTACACTGGTAGATGACACATGGAAGTGCACAAGATCACAGATGCCACAGAACAAGGAACCACACACAAGAACAACACCGAGACATTAATTAAACCCATTAAGCTACGGGTCAAGGGCAGTCAACCAGCTATACCACGTGGCACGAGTTGGTTGGCCGTGGTTAAAAATCTTTTGAAAATTTTTTAGATGAAGGTGTGAATTATTTTTTAATGCATTTTTTCTTTTTAGATGAAGATGAGGATTTGGTATTTTTTTTTTAAATGAAGGGTTATGCAAAGTGGCACTAGCTGGTAAGCTGTGGTGGTAATTTTTTTCTTTTTTCTTTTACTTATTTTTTAGATAAAGGTGAGGATTTTTTTTAAACAGAGACAAGGACTATGTATTTTTTTTAAATAAAAACATGTGCATAGCTTTCTCTCAAACAGCATCACAGGATGACGTCCCAACCACTAATGATTTTTCTTTTAGCGAGGTATAGCCTTGCAGGCTTGCAACCCACGTCCTCGGGACAGTGACTATTCATATGTGACTGGTGTATATAGATTTTCTTAGGCATGTGTAATCGTCCAAGACAACAATTGTTTGTGCTTATTTTGTTATAATTGTATATATGAGTAATTGTTTTGCTTGGCTTTTATATGATGGCATAAGGCATCTTCAACGGCAAACCGCAAAAAACCTCCCGCATCCGTTCGCGGACAGGTGGGACCAGTCCACAGACATAGATAAGAGAGACAATCATCCAACACTAGCTGCATACATTTTCACAACACCTCAAACCAACCAACAAAATTCATGCAAACACGGTCGGATTTCATGCAAACATGACGGTTTTCATATAAAAAGGCAGATTTTCATATGAACATGATGGATTGCAGTACATTTACATCAACGGTGGTAGTCCGGCGCTGAAGGTATAATTAATACCTAATCTAAATCGCCGTCCGCGGATCACTTTGTCTTTCTCATGTCCGGTAGCCCGATCACCGGACTACCGGGACACCCGGAGGTATATGCTTTAGCGCAAAAGACGACTCGCTTCCCCACCGCTCATTGGAGTGGAACCCCTGGCTGATGCTTCACTGGTAGGGGAAGGGGGGCTCCGCTTCCGTGAAGCTCATGCGGGAGCAACGAAGATCATCGCAAGAGAAGAACCGGGCAAGACACCGGTTGTGTACGCCGGTGTCGCCTCGGCGGTGGCCTTCGTGAGACCCAAGCGGTGGCGGGCTCCCGTGTTCTACTTCTCCTCGATAATGGCGGCGGAGGCAGAGGTGTCGGCCACCGACTCGTCTCTCTCCGCGCACCCGACTTCTGCATATGCCTGCATGGCGCGGTCGCGGGCATGGGAGGCGCGGTATTCGACGACAGCGATGACGCCTGTGCCGGCGTTGAGAAACTGGTCACTCCTCATCGAGTGGGCCTGGAACAGCGAGTTGCTGAACCACAAGACAGCTTAGGGTGGCAACTTGCTCCGTCGGGTGAGGCTCGGGAGGTGGAGAAGCGAGCTGCCCCGCTCGTATCCGGCCGACTCAGCAGGCCACCCAGCAGGCTTGTATGCCGGAGAACTGCTCTTCAGAAGCCATCAGAAGAGTGGTGGAGGACGAGATTGGGGAAGCGACAGAGGGGTGTGATTCTTGCCCGACATCTGCCATCGTTTAAATAGCGGACGGATGTAGGAGCTCAGCCAGCGTTGCGTTAAATGTCGGGCCGCTCATGAACGGACGTGTGGCCAGAGTAGGTTTCTCGGCTTCCACACGGGGTTAATAGGATGTATGAATACGATGAGGAGGTGTGTTCAGCCGGGCGTGCAACAGGCGGCGCCCTCGGCTGGCGTGCCGCTTCAATAGCGGAGGCAGTGAGAGGTCGCGTCCGTCCTGAGCCATCTTCAATGCGGAGCGGCGTGCTCTATAGCGGCATGAATGCGGGCAGGTGGCGCCGGGGGGAGCGCATGCAGGAGGGGGAAAGGGTTTTTGATGGATCAGGGCGGTCAGAAGCGGGCTTGGGAGCGGTCCGGACTGCCACAAACCTCCCCCACTTTTGTCTCTGATTTGTGTAAGAAATCGCGTTCGGACCGCTCTCCGGACCAATACAGGCCGGTGTTGGATGACTTTCGCGGTCCGGACAGCATGATCCGGACGGTTGCAGGAGGTTTGCAGGCCCGCCTTGGAGATGCCCTAAGTGGCTAATAGAGAAATAGATGTTTTTTTAGGATAGAAGTAGGTGTTTGAGTACTTTGGTTTCTTTTTTACAATGCCAGAGATTGGTGATTTTTTAGTATCAGGGGTTCTTTAGGTCATATTTTCTTAACGGAAATTGCATATAAGTTAGAATTATGTGTGTCACCTAAAGTGAAATATGTGTGATCTAATGATTGTTGTTATCAATGATGGTTATAGTGCACAAAACCTTTTTATCAAGATAATTTATGATATTTTCAAGCGTCTGAGTCAATATGAAGACTCTGAAAGGGATCTTTATAATCTGTATAAAATGAGGCACTTGCGTTGCGTGCACGAACGTGATGGATCTCTTCATCTAACCCACGTGCATGCACTAGGACAAGATGTCTTAGTCAAATGGTGATTGGACAAGAGATCAAAGTAGCCAGAGATGGCTTAAGGAGCTTTGGCACGTACAGGGCCAAACTGAACAGTTCGCTACGCTTACGCCAACTGATTTATATCATTAACTAATATGTAAGCTCGGGTCGTGCACGTCCAGGAGATGTCTATAAAAGGGAGTGGAGTTTTAGTAACATCTCGCACCTCACTCACACATCTCGCCAATCTTCGAGAACGGTACAATATATACAATCTTATCGAGCTTTTTAGCTATGGCCGTCATGGCTTTCGCTAATGGTCTCAAGTTAGCTGCCCTCTGTGTGCTGGTCCTGACCATGGGCCAGATGATGGCAGTTACTGATGCGTCGGCTCGGCTTTTGCAGTTCGCAAAGCAGGAGCGCTCAACCTCTGAAAATTGTCTCTGCAGCCCTGCTACATGGTGGTGTTGCCCTCCAGCAAGCGGAGTCGCAAAACCCTCCGAGGATTGCCTCTGCAGCCCTGCTACATGGTGGTGTTGCCCTCCAGCAAGCGAAGTCGCAAAACCCTCCGAGGATTGCCTCTGCAGCCCTGCTACATGGTGGTGTTGCCCTCCAGCAAGCGGAGTCGCAAAACCCTCTGAGGATTGCCTCTGCAGCCCTGCTACATGGTTTTGTTGCCCTGAAGCAAGTGGAGTCGCAAAACCCTCCGAAGATTGAACTAAAATCTTCATGAGGGGGGCAGATGGTAAGAGATGGATCATTAAGCCGTACGTACGGCCTGAACTTGAATCATCATTTTCTTTTAGTTCTATCCATGCCTACGTCTTTTGTGTGTATTGTATGTAATGTCGTGCAGTGTGTCTCGATAAAGAACAAATATGTGAGCTTCAAGACATATAATTGTCTTGGAGTGCTACGTAAGTCCGTGTGGGGATGCATATGCCAGTTTACTGTTGGGTTGATGTTGTAACCATTGTATGTTGTTTTCAAGTGTATGTCTATCTTGCTCTCAATAAATAAAGAAGTTGAATCCGCTGCCCCATGGATTTGTCCTATCAATACAAAAATTGAATCTATCTGTTGTTGGAAATTTATCGAGAATTTTTTGGATTAATGTCTTTGTGACAGACGGAGAGAGAAAAGGGGGGGCTCACTGTAATTGGTCGATAATTCTGAGGGATGTTTTGGGGGTATATAAAGCCATCAGACACAAGAGGGCAGAGGGGAGCCCTAGGGTGCGTAGATGCCCCTCGGACGCCTTTGGGCCTGCAGAGGCCTGCAGGGGCGCATAGGCACCCTAGGCCACCCAGGCGTTGGGCCTTGGCTCCAATGTCTCTTCACGCATCCTAAGCTTTGGGTTTTTTTCGGAATCTTTTGAGGCCCCATAATATGTATCAAATCAAATGGCAATTTTTTCCAACAATAATATAATATTTTATATTATCTTATTTTGATTTAATAGAAATTAGAAATTTTCTATAGAAAATTGGTGTGGTATGTAAAATACACATAGAGGAAAAAAGGATCCTAATCCAATATATTTTTCCTAAAATTCAAAAACAGCAGAAAACATGAACTGGTAGTGAGCACTGAATTAATATACTAGAGTTGTGCAGAAGATTACTCAGGAACTAGTAGACCGGGGACAGCATAAGCCATTTCATGCCGACTCTGAACCACCAGCAACTCCACTACCATAAGCAGTCCCCGGTTGACGCCTTGAAGAAGGGAAAATTTTATTTTTGCCAGTCTAGATTTTGCCAATTTTCCTTATGCCATTCTAAATTTTGACATTTCACTTTTGACACTCTTAACTTTTGACAATTATCACAATTGTCATTCCGTGGCAAAAGCAAAATAATTTTATTTCATTTTTGCCATGCTTATGTTGCGCACCCGTCGAAGCGTTTTGTACCTTCACAACGTGGCCTGTGTTGTGTCCACAGCAAACCCCTTTGCAATGCTCAACTGCCACATGTTCTGAAGCCCCTTTGCAACATAGATGATGTTGCAAAGCCCCTTCACAACACAAACAACGTTGCAAAGGCACCAGCACCTCGCTGTTGTTTGCAACACCATCCTTTGTTGCAAATCACCAGATTTAAAAAAAATGTCACATATCAATTCCCATTTTGTTGACACTCGTGCTTGCATAAAAACATCGAGCGAGAAAGAATTGAAGGAGTGGAAATGATTAAGAAGGCGCTCTATGAGGTGTTTGCAATAAGTCATGGATGGAACCCCATGGTGTTGAAGATTGAAGCGTTGTGACGACATCTATTTGCCTATGGTGGCTCTTCGACCATTCTTGTTCTTCTGAAAAACTTTGTTTCTTAGCAGATTTTGTTGCTGCGCTGAGTTTTCTATGTGTTGTGATATCGTTCTTCAATTATGTGCCTGAAAAACTTTGTTTCTTACTCCCTCCGTTTCTTTTTAGTCTGCATATAAGATTTGGTCAAAGTCAAAGTTTATAAAGTTTCACCAACTTTGTTTGAAAATATATCAACATCTACAATACTAAAACTATGTGGTATGAAAATTAATTTCATGATGAATCTAACAATATTGAATTCATATTGTGAATCTTGAAAAAAAAATCTATAAACTTAGTCAAAGTTGATAAAGTTTGACTTTGACTAAATCTTATATGCAGGGAGGGAGTATCAGATTATGTTGCTGCGTAGATGCTTTCCTTGTGTTAATAATTTAAGTCACAAAAAATTGTCTGGTTGCTTGAATGGCTGGTGAGCTTAGGGAGAGAGCATGTAGTGTTCTCTTTGCCTCATACTTCGGTTTGTTCCGTTGATTTGATGCTTTATTTTTAAATTTTCTTTAAATTTTAGTGGTTTCTTTAATGAAAAATAATGTGGAGTCATTTAAAAAATCCAAAATCCAAATCTCTCGCGAAACAAACACGATATGATTTACCCGCAAATTAAAGAAAAAACAGGTACTCCCTCCGTTCGGAATTACTTGTCACAGAAATGAATGTATCTAGACGTATTTTAGTTCTAGATACATTCATATTCGAGACAAGTAATTCCGAACGGAGGGAGTAAGATTTAGGGCAATCGCACGCCTTCCAGTCATGTTGAAGAAATTAATTACAACATCTCTCCTGTGGAAGGCCTTTGTATTCTATGAGATTTTATTAAGAATCTGGACACAACCAGCCTACAGTAGCTGCAGTGGACAACTAATCCTCCCAGCAAAATTCCCGTCACATGGCGTTCCGCCACAACAATTTCGCACACTTTGAAACTAGCCGCTCAAATTGGTGACGGGTCCCTTGAACCAGTGCCTAGCACTGACGACCCAAGACGTCAAGACGAGGATGAAGAGCCCGCCGACGGCGACCGGCGTGTAGTTGAGCGTGTCCCTGGTCACCGGGTACATCACCGGCAGCGAGAAGAGCACGGTGATGGTCACCACCCAGAGCACGGCCACCCACCCCACCAGCACGCCATAGCGCCCGAGGTTGAAGGGCCCCGGCACGAAGTGCTTCCGCGCCAGCGTCACCCGGAAGAAGATGGGCAGCGCGTACGCGATGTAGAGCCCGATCGTGGCGATCGACACCATGGCCTGGAACGCCACCAGGCTGCCCAGCGACTGCAGTTTCCAATCGGAGGGTTTATCAGCGCAGGATTAACTGGAGCATGTAGTTGTACTGTTGTAGTAGTACATTGACTACTGGGTGTCAATCCAGACAAGAGGGTTCATGTTTACCGGCAACGCCATGCAGAGGGAGACGAAAGCCGAGAGCCAGACGGCGTTGATGGGCACCTCGTGCTCGTTAACTTTGTGCCACACGGACGACAGCGGCATGGCGCCGTCTCTCGAGAAAGCATACGCCATCCTAGCCATCAAACACGTGGAAATTGTGAGATTTCAGATCTAGCTATGTGCCGATCGAGAAGTGCATGCAGATACCCAAGAAGACGATGATGATCACCTCGAGTTACTTGTGACGGAGCTCATGCCGCAGAAGTAAATGGCGACGGCGACGATCCCCAGGCAGACGATCCCGCCGACGCCGCTGCCGTAGCGACTCTTGAAGGCTTGGTAGAAGACCTGGGCGATGGCGTACCCTCCAGCTTCATTGTCGGGGCTCAGCAGGGAGGGTATGTCCTTGACGGCGAAGGTGACGCCGAGTATGTATCCCCAGCCGACCACTATCGATATGCCGATGGCGCTGATGATCCCGATGGGCCCGTTCGTGTCTGCGTTCTTGGTCTCCTCCGTCTGCGCGCATGCCAATGCCATGCATGCATGAGCAAAATAGCGTTACCAAGAGACCTACATATGTTGTCAGTGTCCTAACACCTACAAAAGCTCTCCTCAATTACCATATGCGCCGACGCGTCGTATCCTAAGAGCGTGTACTGGCTCATGAGGAGCCCCAGGAGGAAGATGTAGAGATGGCTGTGTATTCCGGCACTGTTGTCGGTGTTGAAACTGGTGAAGACGAACTTGGCACTGGCCCTCTCCGTAGCAACGGCCGGCACGGCGATCATGAGGACGAAGACACCTAGCATGTTCCAAGCGGCCGCGAACTGGCCGAAGAAGGAGAGCCACGCAATGGGGAGGCTGTTGATGAGGGCGTGGCTGAGCAGGATGGCGGCGTGGATGGCGATGACCTCGTACTTGGACGCCAGGTACCCTCCGCCGTTGTTGCCGCCGGTGCTCAGCAGGATGATCACCTGGATCAGCTGCGCCAGCGAGTAGTCCACGCTCGTTGTCACTGCCCACTGCAACAAAATTCTTTCTCCTGTCACTTCAGAGTTCAGAGTGAATGAGAAAACACATTCAGACAGACGAAGGTTGAGAGTTTTTACCTGTCCGACGATGTTAAACCTGCATGCATGCAACGCCAACGCAGCCGAGGGAGTAGACAACAAACATCACATCATTAGAGGCTGTCTCGAAACAGATAATTTACCGGAATGGTTCTTGTCTTGTCCCAACTAGAAGAACCATACTGGTTCTAAAAAAATTAGAAGAACCATACATACTGATAGGGAAAGTATCATGTGATACCATCCCTTAAATACTCACATGATACCAACTTTCAAACAGCAATTTTAAATGTTTCGTGTTCACAAGGCATGTGTCTACGGCACCTAAAAGAATCAGGTTCAAATTCGAAATACACATTGAGAAACCAAAAATGACAAATTTAGCATGAACAGTGTCACAAAAGAGTGAAGTGCACTGTAGGTCCTCGAACTATTGCAGGAGTATCACGTATGTCCTCGAACTATGAAAATCGTCATCCAGATCCTCGAAGTGCAATAAGTGTGTCATTCAGGTCCAAAATCTGCCTAACCCCATCTGACTGGCCAGCTAGCACTGTTAACCGTGACACGCCAGATAGGGGCCCCGTAGGATAACGGATGTTGGTGGACAGTGCATCGGCAAACAGTTTTCATACGCGATGAACAATGCACGGGTGAAGAGTAAATTAAAAAGATAGCAAAAAACAGTCAAAAATCCGATAAATTTGAAAATGTTCACAAACGATAAATTCGAAAAATATTTGTTCATGACTTTGAAAAAATGTTCGTGAACAATAAATTTGAAGATGTTTGCAAACGATAAATTTGGAAAATATTTTAAAAACATATTTGTTCATGACTTTAAAAATATATGTGGTTTGCGACATAAAAAAAGTTCATGAACAATAAATTTGAAAAATATTTGTTCACAAATTTATAAAAATGTTCACGAACGATAAATTTAAAATCATGTGTGATTTGAGAACATTTTTGTAAGCTGTGAACATTTAAAAGAAATATTTGTGACTTGTGACTTTAAAACAATGTTTGCGAACGATAATGTAAAAAATGTCCGTTACCTGTGGGTCCCCCTATCCGACTTGTCACGGTCAACGGCACCAGCTGGCCAGTCAGATGGGGTCAAGCAAACGTTGGACCTGTATGCCACGCTTACTGCACTTCAAGGACCCGGATAACGATTTTCATATTTTGAGGACCTACGTGACCCCCCAGAAATAATTCAAGGACCTACAATGCACTTTACTCGTCACAAAAAGGCAAAAGCAAAATTAACACTATTCACGTCTAGATCTTTTTTTTCTCAATGTGCATTTTGAATTTGAAGCTGATTTTTTATGGGTTGTAACACATTCCTTCTGAACAGTCACATTTTTTCGAAAAATTAAAATATTTAGAATTGATTTTTTTAAACAATGAGAGCATGTGGATCTGGGAGTTGATATCACTGTATATTCTCCCCATACTAATAGTAGCATATACTACTCCCTCCGTGTAAAAATATAAGAGCGTTTAGATCACTTGATCTAAATGCTCTTATATTTCTTTACAAATGGAGTACTATTCAATGATATCACTGAATGTTCTCCCCATACTAATAGTAGCATATACTACTATCCAAACACCCGTCACCATCAAATCAAAATCAGATTTTTCCCAGAAAAAAAAAATCAAGATCAGATTCTATGGCGTGAATCAGGAGTCTAGTGGCCAGCCGCACATGTCAAAGCACGCAAGTGGAGCGAGCACATGAACACAAGCCAAAGATCCACGTCACCCCGTTAAACAACGTCAAATGCAGATCCATTTGCACTAGCACAGACTGGCAACTTTGATTCCATCTGATTGGATGGAGCAAAGAAAAAGATTATTCCAATTTCTATCCCGATTCTGATTGTCACAGAATCTGCTAGCTAAGACGGTTGTGGAACTGCCAGCCGCTCCGACGGTTGGTGGCACGGAGAAGAATCTTGATGCCTCGGCTTCCGCTAATAGATAAATAGGGTTAGTCCTCGTAGGGGGAGGGGGCGCTTGGGCGGATGTGGACGTTTCTTTTTCAAGTCAATTTTTTGAGCTTCGGTCCTTCTCAAGTTCAGTTGTCAGACCATATTAGACGAGCTCCTCCGAGGCGCTGATCCTTATGGATATGTGCATGAAGACATCCCCGTTGTCATCGACAAGGTCAGACTGGCTTCGTTTTGGCGGTGGCAGTAGTCTCGTTTGATGGTACATGGACCTCGATGTTTTTTTTTATTATGTTTGAGGTGTTTTATATTTTTGATAAATCCTTATAATACTCCCTCCATTCTAAAATATAGTGCGCCCGCGCTTTCCGAGGTCGAACTTTGACCATAAATTTAACGAATGAGACCGACTGCGGCGGGAGAAAAAGTTACATAATTAAAAACTTCTTTCGAATACGAAATCACTGATATAACTTTTGCTCCCGCCGCAATCGGTCTTGATAGTTAAATTTACGGTCAAAGTTGAAGCACGTAGATAGAGGAAGCACTACATTGTGGAATGGAGGGAGTATAGGTTTGATCCTTTTCTGAAAGAAAAAAAGACTGCTGTGGAAATGTCGTTTGAAAAAGAAATAAGAATGGGATCATTTGGGCAGCGCACATGCAGTGCAGCATGGACTCTGTGTGCCGGCCGGACTAGATGTACTACTCGTGTTCAACCGGTCCAGTTCATGCAAAGAAATGAATCAAAAGATATTTGCACGTCTCTTTCCAGCTTGAGGCAAAACTACGCCCATTCAATTCAACATCTAATTTTCGCACTATAGTTTCAAGGAGAAGCACGTGCAGTCGCCTCAAAATTCGTCATGTCAAGACTTTTACGCCCCCTCCCTCCCAGAAATTCCAGGGTTTTTTATCTTGAGAAATGGATATTCCGGTATTGCACGGGCAGGACTTAACCACGTAGTACTCCAATTTCTTCAGTTCATTCATGGCGGGCTAGTACGAATTGCACGGTCGACTGCAATAAGTGAAGTGAGTTGAGTGATCTTACCATCCGGTGAGCCAGGAGGCGAAGGGGCCCCAGCGTCGCTCGGTGCAGAGCCTGGCGCTCCAGAAGTAGAGGCCGCCGGAGGTCGGGTAGGCGGAGCAGATCTCGGCCATGGCCAACCCGACGACGACGGTGAAGGCGCCGGCGATGGGCCAGCCGTAGACCATGGTGACCGGCCCGCCGAACTCGAGCCCCGTCCCGTACAGCGTCGTGATGCCCGTCAGCACCGACACGATCGAGAAGGTCACCGAGAAGTTGGACAGCAGCCTGCATGCATTCGCAGCACGCTTTAGCAAGTGCGATTTCTGAATCAAATGAAATGGAGACGGTGAAAAGTTAATGTGGAGTAGGACTAGGAGGAGCACGTACGAGAGATTGCGCTTGAGCTGCGGTTCGTAGCCGAGCAGCCGGAGCTTTTTGGAGTCGTAGTCGTCGGCGGATGTCGCGGCGGCGGCGGCCTCGTCGGCGGCGAGCCGGCTGTAGCTGCCCTGCCCTGCCATGCTCGCTCTCTTTCTGTTGCCTGAAGACTAATAACAACTACCAGTCCGAGATCCAGATGCTATCCGTCCAGATGGCTCATCACACGAGCTTATAGAGAGGGACGGAGAGTGCGTGCGCTAAGGTAGGGCCCGCCTGTCTGCCTCAGATTCCGTGGAGAATCCATCCGGCCATGTGAAATGGCGATCGCGTGCGTTGGGCGACGATCTCCTCCTGTCCCTCGTGCTGATTAGATTAGCCCACGCATCTTCACACGATCCAAGGGATTTTTGCCAACATGGTTCTACAGCCTGACTAGCTACTGGAATACAAGAAGGCTCGTTCAAGTTAACACAAAACTGACACGTTTCAGTAATGCAGAAAACCATGACAGTGTAAAGTTTCTACCACGTTCCAATAGGGTTACAACAGAAAGAAAAAAAAAAGGGACCGGTCTCGAATTTTCATGGTTTTAAGATTATTTTTTCCCAGCTCCCAAGATAACAATTATTCCATGAAGTTGTAATTTTCTTTTCCAAATTCATGGCCTCTCCTAAGAGAGACTCGCAGACAATGTATTTTGAAATTAGAGTCACAAAGCCAAACTGTCAGTCCTGCTTTCACAAAAAGACAAAGGATAGATGACAATCCGATGCATACATGATTAAGAGTCCTCCAGGACATTGTCACGCATGGTCCATCCACACATGCAAGCGAAACATACTAGCAAAGTAGATTCTACAGACGGTAAAAAGATTCACGAGAAGGCTCGCACAATTCAACTGAGCAAACTGGCTTCATCGACAAATTAGCAGCACGCGACATCGTCATCAGGAAAAAGAGTGGCGCCTCTTTGGATGATGCACGTTGTAGAATGCTTGGCCTGTAAGCGCAAAGAGCAGCAGATACATTAGACACCAAGCAAACAGAGAGTGAAGCCAGCGATATACTCCTGTGCTACGCCATGGTGGGGATAAAAATTCGGCAGCATAAAAAGGATCATTGACAATTACAACGCATAAAAATTCCAAACGCAATTTTCAGCTCCTTTTCTGAAGATGACACCCAAAGCTGACACAAAAATGACAAGACATGTAAAATCGGTTCAACCAAATAGGATATCATAATCCACCACAATGCCAAACACGGCCTTAATCAACACACTTGGTGTATCAACTAATAAGACAGTGTTATGTTATTACTATTATTAACCGAAAAAGGATAATTCAAGGCAAAATTTGCTCGTTTCAATAGAATACCATTCGTCGGGTCTAAAACACACCATCCTTAGCGCCTGGTGAAACTGCTGCACTCTTTATTAGTATGTCACATTCTGTTAGCCTACAAAAATATTCTTCAAAATTATCATAATAACTATGTTGCCCCTGAAGCTTAAATGAGCAAAAAGGAAAAGGAAATTGAAATGCTCATTGTTGACCAGCTTGCCTGTTAGCCAGCTTGTGTCAGTAAACAAGAGCATACAATAAGTTGACAATACAGCAATACAAAAGAATGGCTGAAGAAACATTCGCTGTGCTACTTAGGTTGATTGGGAGAAAATACCACCAAAACCCACACTGACATCCAAATGGTAAAAATCTATGCATGCATGTTGTTAGGCTATTTTAGGGTATACTTAATACATTAATGACCATGCTAATCGTTGGGCGAATGAAAAAAAGTGGAGTTCGTGAGATATGACTTAGAAGATCCTGCTTGATGTACATATAAAGATTAATACAAACTAGGCCCCAGTAAATCTGCAATCCAATTTGGCGTCTAAGAATAACCAAAAAGGCCTTAAGAATCAAAATAATGAAATAGCCCTTTCGGTTTACATTAATCTAGTAAAATCACATTAATATAAACCTACAAATACATACTCCCTCGGCACCAAAATGTAACACGTTTTTTGGTTTTGCATAGGGCATAAAAAACATCTTACATTTTGTTAAAGAGAGAGTATTTGCCAGTTTCTTCCTAAGATGGCAGTATATCCCTTTTTTAATGGTTCTTCACAAAACTCCAGTGAGGAGGAGCTATTATTTACATGGTCTACTTATTGATCCTTAAACCAACATTCAACTAGATGTCATTGTTAGTTGTTATATTATCAGCTGGGAGAGCTACTAGCTACATAACTGCAAGCGACATTAACAAGTCAAGTTTAACTAAATCAGAAAAAAATGATTGGGTATTGACTATTGAGAATGACGCTTAGAACTGGCTTAACTCATTTTTATAGCCTCACTCTGACACATGGTAAATATGTGCATACAAATACAGTACTCACCTCAGCGGTGAAAACCAGCCTCTTGACTCAGCAGATTTCCTGTGTAAATACACATAGACTGGAAATCTTCCAGCTGCCACAAATCTGTGTAAGTTTCTGTTTTTGGATCATAAACCTGTAGCAGCCCCGTTAGTTGCATCACAAAGACAATCCTCTCGTCATCTAACACCAGCAAAGGATAACTAAAATGATCCTCACGTCGGTAATAACCTGTGCTGTACTTTTTAACCCAGACACCTTTCTCACGATCCATCAGAAACCATAGGTCCATCGATTGAGGTGAACTATGATGAACCTGCGCCACCACTAAGGACCCATTCAAATTGGTTATGGAGAGAATCCCCACAGCTCTGGGGTCCTCGAAGACAGGAAGCACATCTTCTTCGTCATATAAGCTGCTGACTTGTTCCGGACCATCAATCGGCGGCATCCATACTTCTGTCTCCAGGTTGAATGCAGCTATGCTGGCTGGTTTGATGGTCACCTTCGACTGATACATGTTTGAAAAATCCATCAAGAAATACACGACCCCATCGATGGCCGCGCTTTTCATCGTGTGATCGGAAAAGACACGGCCCGGAGGTCCTGGTCTTGCCCTCCACCGTCCAGGGCTGCGGCCGTTGAGAGTCATGACCTCGCAGAGCTGCTGCGGACTAACCAGAGGGCGAATTTCAAGGAAGCGGAACGCCTTGTACACTCCTGTGGAGGGGACTTTCCCAAAAATGCACGAGTCCATGGATGCCTTTCTGGTCTTCAGCAAACCAGCATACTTCATGGAGATGACTTGCGACGAGCTGATGACAGCACCCGTGGCCGGGTCGAGCAGGGTGACAGGCACGCCCAGAGGGTGGCGCCCTCCGACGAGGCAGACACGGTCGAGGCGCGTGCGCTGCACTCTCAGGTCGGGGTCGGAGGTGCGTATCCGCTTGATGACGTTGCCGGAGAGCAGATCCACGATGCTGACGCCGCGGGACTCGCCGTCGGCGAAGGTGGTGGCGAGGAGCGGGCCCGGGTGGCGGGCCGCGTGGGCCTTGACGAAGAGCGGGTCCAAGGTGAGAGAGCGCCACGAGGGGCTGACGGCGCGGAGGCGGCATACATCCTTCGCCGGGAGACGCAGCAGGATGTCGTAGAGCGCGTCGCGGGGCAGCTCGCCGGCGATGTGTTCCGGGGGCCGCAGCTCGCCCCGCTTGTCCGAGTCCGACGACGGCGACGCCATCGCTGAGGTCGACAATGCTAGATCTGCAAACAGCACCACGAGAGCTAATCTGAGTAATGTGACCACGAAATGGTGAGCTCAAATGAAGCCGCGCGGGCGGAGCAAGAGTGAGAACCAGGGCGGCGTGGGGATCGCCGGCGTCGGTGGTGCGAGCGGACGGGCGGCGGCGAGGTCAGGGTTCCAGAGGTAGGTGTTTGGAGGTTGGGGTTGTAGCCTGGGACTGAGAGAATGGGAGAGGCTGAACAGCCCATCAGAATTGGTGTAGCCTGGGCATGGCCCAATAGAAGTTGCATAACAATTAATTGACGCACTTCAGCCCAGCAAGGCAGATAAATATTTCATGGTCATTCTGTTTTTTTTCTACTTTAAATGATCTGGGACTTCGAAAAGGTCCAAAAATTTAAAAAACTGAGGATTTTCAAATAAAATATTTAATAGATCATAAAATGTTTGTGGGTTGAAAATATGTTCCTAAAATTATAAGAAATGCTTTCTTATTCAAAAAATGTTCAAGATTTTGAAAACGAATGTTCAGAAAATCATAAAATGTTCACGATTTTTTAGAGTTCGTGTATTAAAAGAGATTCATGAAATTGAACAAAATTTCACCAATTCAAAAAATGTTCGTGAATGGAAAAATATACTAAAAATTAAAAACGGCTCGTGACTTACAAAATAGTTTATTTATTGTTAAAATGTTCGTTGATTCCAAAATGTACGTTAAATCAAAAAAATCTTCGTGTATTTCAAAAATTGTTCCAGAAAAATGTTCACGGCTAGAAATGTGCGCTGATTCAAGAAAATTGTTAAAAAAAATGTTTGCAAATAGTATAAAATGTTCATGAATTCAAAAAATATTCTTGGCTTCTGAAAATGTTCAAAAAATTGTAAAAGTGCTTATGAATTTGAAAATGTTCAAGATTGCAAATATGTTCATGAGTTAAAAAAACATTATTTCACGAGATTGAGCAAAATATGATCATGACTATTGGAGATTATAAAAAAAATCCCGTTACAATGCATGGGTCCTTTTGCTAGTGGTAGAAAAAATGTATTTGACGGTCACTAAAAAAGGATAAGTATTTTTTTTACTTTTTTTTACGATTCAAAGAGCTATATTGGTCAAGACATGATTATACAGTCATTGTATATACAAACCTCTAAAATCTAGGAATAAAGTTTATCCAAAGGCAATACCTTCAATATGGGCTAAGTTAGAGCATCTACGGCCGGACTAGGCAAATCAGACCACTCAAACGCCCGCGGACGTGACTGGGTGCGTCCGCAAACAGTGACATGTCACGCCTTATATTTGGTGTTGTACATTCGAGTCTCTCATATTTCATCCCATATAACCATACAAAACCATGCAAAATAAACCTACGTACCATGACAAGCTAGCACGCGTCATTGTCGGATATGAGGGGAGGAAACCGAGTGTGTTTGAGCGGGGTGAGGCAACTACATAGCTTCTTTCAAATTTCCTTCCCACCATCAACCAACGAGCGTGTCCCACCCGGTCCAATAAGCCGACGCTGTGTTGATGATGACATGACACCCCCATAGGGTGCCCATAAAGTGCGGCTTAATGGGTTTACATCTTGTAACTACCGAAAAATGGATTATCCTAGTTTAAAGAAAAAACAAATCACAAGGCGGGACAAAACAATATCCATGAAAACCATAAATCCTAGAGAGTACCGGAACAAAAAAACAAGTGGACAATCATAGTGAATTTGAATGACCATCTTCATAAAAGTCTGATGGTCACTAATCCACACAATCTAAGTAAACTGCTGCTTGCTCGCACGCGTTTTCCAAACGGACAACTAATCCCCATGACCACAGGCAGGAGCGAACCGATGCTCACCCAGGTATTGAGAAGGTCGATCGGTGGGATCTAACTAAGCGCCGCCATTAAAAAGAAATTGACTAATCGTTGGATGGAAACAAGCAAGCTTGTACCCCAGAAACAAAAGGAACGAGGTGTACTATATGACACAAACGATTCGCCACAAACTTGGGTTGGGTTAAGCTAGGACATTTAAACGGTTTTTGTGTGTCTCATTGTTTCATGCGTGAGGGCAAGTGCTCGACCGACCAACTTCCTATTTGGTTGATCGAATTATACGACACAAACGATTCGCCACAAACGTCACCTTCTGCGACGCATCTTTCTCCCGTTGACCGAGCATCACCGCATTGATCCTAACATCATCCTGAAATCATAGTGCGTCCCATTTTTTACTAGTGTGTTTCAGACTCTTTGTTCGACTCAATACATGTTTTGAAACGGACGACAATCGAGATAACCACATTGATGGGAAAAAAAGGTTGATGCTGCGCTTGTGGTTTGTCATTGAGACTTTTAGCAAGACACGTGCACTGCAGAGTTGGGGGTGGTCCTTTGAAGCTCAGACCATGCTTACGTTAACAAGCTTATATATAGACCATGCTTCAATAAGAAATTTAATTCAATGCGAACCTCAAAGTGAGGACTGAAATGTTAAGGGCCAATAATTCAGGGACCTAGATGTAAAAGGCAGCAAAGCAAAAGCTTAAGCCAGCTTCGAAACCAGGGGCCAAAATTTAATTTCGCAGAATTGGCAAGGGCTGCACGAACGCGTACCTCCTCTACCACAAATTACGACGTTCACTCTCCCACTTAGGGAGATGATAGGCCGGCGCACTCACCAGGTGCAATGTGTGCCACTAACCTAGGCCACGGGCCTTATTGATCGCCCGTCGACCCCGTCCAGGTAAGTATGGAACAAGGGTGCACCCGGCTCTCCTTTTATAGCGAGCTCTCCCGCTCGATGCTCTCGGCTAGGCGAGGTGGGACTGGGCTCTCTCAGGAGGTTAGCTGGGCTCGTGTTTGCTCGTGTCTGGGCACATCAACATACGTGGGCCTTGAGAGCCGTGGCAGCTTTGCCTTTCGTGGGCCTTGAGGGTGAGAAATGTCGTGTTTGTGGAGCCTCGGTCTTATTAAAAAAAATACTGATTCTATTTATTTTATACTCTTTCTATAGAAAAACTTTTGCTAAAGAAAGAGAATCGTTTTACAACAGCGAGGCATCTTCACAGTGCGATCGGCCTATCGTATGTTGGCAGATACAAAAAGGCATGGAGAAGACTGCCTCGAAGGGAATACAGGTTCTTCTGATTATGAAGTTGAAGCTAAATCTTGGACCTCGCTCTCGTCAGTCCAAGTCCCGGGAAAGATTCGTAATTTTTTGTGGCGATTAGCTAAGCACACCATCGCCACTGAATATGTTCGGCATGGAAGGAATATGGCCAACGATGACAAATGCCAGCTTTGCGGGATGTGGGATAGTTGGCGCCATTCACTCTTGGAGTGCTCTATTGCCCGTTGCGTTTGGGCTCTGGTCGATGATGATGTGGCTGACTATGTTCAAGCGTCGACTGAGCCAAATGCCAAGCTTTGGCTATTTTCAACTATCGACGACTTACCACATGCTAGTGTTGGAAATATGCCCAAGAGGCAATAATAAAAGCATTATTATTATATTTCCTTGTTCATGATAATTGTCTTTATTCATGTTATAATTGTGTTATCCGGAAATCGTAATACATGTGTGAATGATAGACACCAACATGTCCCTAGTAAGCCTCTAGTTGACTAGCTCGTTGATCAACAGATAGTCATGGTTTCCTGACTATGGACATTGGATGTCATTGATAACGAGATCACATCATTAGGAGAATGATGTGATGGACAAGACCCAATCCTAAACATAGCATAAGATCGTATAGTTCGTTTGCTAGAGTTTTTCCAATGTCAAGTATCCTTTTCTTAGACCATGAGATCGTGTAACTCCCGGATACCGTAGGAGTGCTTTAGGTATACCAAACGTCACAACGTAACTGGGTGACTATAAAGGTATACTACGGGTATCTCCGAAAGTGTCTGTTGGGTTGACACGGATCAAGACTGGGATTTGTCACTCCGTATGACGGAGAGATGTCACTGGGCCCACTCGGTAATGCATCATCATAATGAGCTCAAAGTGACCAAGTGCCTGGTCACGGGATCATGCATTACGGTACGAGTAAAGTGACTTGCCGGTAACGAGATTGAACGAGGTATTGGGATACCGACGATCAGATCTCGGGCAAGTAACATACCGATTGACAAAGGGAATTGTATACGGGGTTGCTTGAATCCTCGACATCGTGGTTCATCCGATGAGATCATCGAGGAGCATGTGGGAGCCAACATGGGTATCCAGATCCCGCTGTTGGTTATTGACCGGAGAGCGATCTCGGTCATGTCTACATGTCTCCCAAACCCGTAGGGTCTACACACTTAAGGTTCGGTGACGCTAGGGTTGTAGGGATATGTATATGCAGTAATCCGAATGTTGTCCGGAGTCCCAGATGAGATCCCGGACGTCACGAGGAGTTCCGGAATGGTCCGAAGGTAAAGAATTATATATAGGAAGTGCTATTTCGGCCATCGGGACAAGTTTCGGGGTCACCTATATTGTACTGGGACCACCGGAAGGGTCCCAGGGATCCACCGGGTGGGGCCACCTATCCCGGAGGGCCCCATGGGTTGAAGTGGGAAGGGATCCAGCCCAAAGTGGGCTGGGGCGCCACTTCCCCCTAGGGCCCATGCGCCTAGGGTGGGGGAAACCCTAAAGGAAGAGTCCTAGAAGGGGAAGGCACCTCCTAGGTGCCTTGGGGAGGAGGGATTCCTCCCTTGGCCGCCGCCCCCCTAGGAGATTGGATCTCCTAGGGCCGCCCCCCCCCCCTAGGCTCCCTATATATAGTGGGGGAAGGAGAGCCTCTCAACCCACGCCTTTGGTGCCTCCCTCTCCCTCTCCAACACATCCTCCTCCTCCATAGTGCTTGGCGAAGCCCTGCCGGAGTACTGCAGCTCCACCACCACCACGCCGTCGTGCTGCTGTTGGAGCCATCTTCCTCAACCTCTCCTTCCCCCTTACTGGATCAAGAAGAAGGAGACGTTACGCTGACCG